TTAACATTCCATGAACAGGACATACGTAATATATGAAAAAAACCAGTAATTATTACTCAAGACAGAATTGAATCCTTGAGCTTCAAAAGTAAAACTGGATTCATACGTGGACAGATCAAACCACGTTCTCGTTATATAGGAATAAGGGAATTAACTCCCACATAGCCAAGATCAAACAAATAACTTGAAGAAAGGAAGAATGAAATTCAGCAAAGAGCTCAAAGTCAAACATTTCTCCTCCAAAGACATTTAAATTACCACTATTTACTGACAAAGACCAAGGAAATACCAGGATCTATATAGTAACTGAAAAATAAAGGTTTAGGTGGGTCCTCTTTTATTCCATTTCTCTATCCTGCAAGTTACAGTCCTACAATTCCCTACAGCATTTGCCTTTTGTGTAGCATATGTTGGCTTGTGTTCAACTTCAGATCCAAAATAACCCACGCATTTTCCTCCTAAGGTCTGCTACTTAATCACATACCCCACATCCTGCATTTGTGCATTCATCTATTTGTACTGAAATGTACAACCTCACATTTCTTATCTCTGAACTCTCCTCTTTTTTTTCAGATCTCAGTATCTCTACTTTGTTCAAATAATTTTAAATTCTAGCTTGCACTTAGCACACATACATGTAGTCAATGAAGTTACAACTGCTCCTATCTCTTTGCAAGAACTTCAGACAACCATTCTAATCGCCTGTCTTTAACTATTTGCACAATTACAGTTCACATCGACTCTTCCTTTCTGGAAATTGAAAGCTCCTCCTGCTGGCCTTCTGCTGAACTGAAGACAAACCAAAATCAATACTTGCCAAACCAAGAAAATACAAAAATGGGGCAGTAACATTATTGGTATGTTAGTATCTTTTGGTATTTGGTGTTGAGACAAATAAAGCTAAGAAAAATCTCACTCTTGCAGGAAGCATAGAATAAAAGATAATTCCAAGGATTCGCCTCAAAGAAACATATTATCCACACTATCAGAAACAGATAGTGCGAAATACGATTTTCTTCTTTCCATGGCAAACAAACTGCTGCTCTGACATAAAACTAGCAATCATTAATTATTTTTCTACTGCAGCTGAGGAATAAAAACTCATATATTGACCACAAAGGCAGGAAATTCAAAGGTGACTCACAGTCACAAACATTCCTAATTACTCTTTTTATATAAAATTACCTTGAGCAACTACCATGGGGTTTTATTACTTTTGATCAGGTTTGATTTGCATAAAGAAACAAGAGGTGGCTTTACTGCTCAAAAAATAATTTTTATGAGGGTAACTATTCAATTTAAAAAAAACTTACAATATGCTAACAGTGATGAGTAGGTTTGCAAGGCTCTACTTGAAAAGCAGTATTTCTCCATCCCACATCTCTTCAGCAGAAGTTCAAAACAGATTTCCAGACACAGAACAGTTTGAGTCACCAGACTGTACAGTTAGATAATACTGTAATTATTTCAAGTAACTATCAAGTACAAGAGAGAAATAAGAGATGTATTAATCAAAACTCATGTATACACAGATGAAGATCCAGGTTAACCCAGTAACACCAGCAAATATCAATCAGTAGCCATAACCTCAGAAGGGGGAATTAATTTACTGCTTGAAGTTCACTGCAGAGTCTGAACGCAAATATTAGCACTGTTCCAATTTTCTGAGATTGCCAAGTATTTCAGAGCTTGAGGAGAACGAATATGAGCAGAATAATAACATCACTCAACTTTTTATACTTTGTATTTAATTTAATTACTCCTGTTCCTCATACCCTTAGCAAAACAGTCGGGGAGGAGGGACAGGGATTGACAGACACCCAAAAAACCAAAGCCCTATATTGTAGAAGAGAGGTCAGTCCCAACCAATATTAAATAAACCAGATCACCAAGCAAACAATTTTCAGTTCAGTGAGGAATTCTTTCATTCTAATGAGATCCACAATAACAATTTAAATTACGCACATCTTCTGGCCAAAATCTTTTCGAGACGAGTTAATTCGACCTTGCTCATAACAAGCCCATACTTAGAATAACAGAATCATTTAGGATGAAAAAGATCATTAAGTCCAACTTGTTTACTGTTTACTGTCCAACTCTTTTTTCCCAGTCATTATCAAGTCTGCCAAATCAGCCCTCCCATTTCCCTCCAGATCCTCTCCTTTCTGATTATGTGAGGCAAAAACTTTCTAGAGTGGCATATCATAGAAGGTTTTCTCTTTACAGGCAGGAGTTGCAATAGAGCTCCCAGATCACGCCTCTTCGCTTTCCAGTATGGTCAGCAGAGCACACTGCATGCAAGAACAGCTTTCATACAGAAGGAAAGATGGCACAACCTGGGCAAGTCACATTAGTTATCCCCTCATTATCCATATCCGTCACCAAGAGTGGAAAAATGCTCCCCTTCAAAACCTTCTCCAGTATTCCCCACTTGTATCTCCAATTCATCTAGTTCAGCAGTTCTGATAAATAAGCCAGTCTCCAGTCATTAGCACTGCTTGTGATATTGCCAGTTATGCCAACAGGGAAGGATTAATTACTTTGGAACTCTGAAGACCTCTAAGACCTTTAGCAAGATACAAGAAGAAAGAGATGATAAGCAGAATTGTCCAAGTGCTCTACATATCCATTCCTCAGTAAAGGAAAGGGTGACCAACAACTTATTAAAAATACAGTAACCCAAAATAGATCACCAGTATTTTTCTTGAGAATACTCAGAAGCCTGTGGCAGTCATTCCTCTATATTGTTCAGGCCCCAAGTTTAATAACAAATTAAGATGTAACACTTAAGCGTGTTACATGTCTGCTTGCATAAGAAAAAACACACTTGCAAGACACAAACCAGTTTTCCAGGTATTTTTCATTTTCATTTTGAAGCAGTACATGCTGGCAGTTGCAGCCAGGAACACTGGAATTGATCATGAGCAAAACACCCAATATGTTGTGCTGTTGCCATTAATACAATGCCTATAGCATGCTTTGAAACAGAACGTTGTATGTATAGAGAGCCACCAGTAAGCGGACATAGAAAAGAGATAACAAAAATACTTTAACTATTATGCAAGCTGTTTCTTAAAACCTTAGAACTTGTAATACAGTCATCTTGCATGAGTCTTTTCAGTGGTGCCCAGCGACAGAACAAGGGGCGACAGATACAACCTGAAACACAGAAAGTTCCATCTGAATATGAGAGAAAGCTTCCTTTACTTTGAGGGTGACAGAGGACTGGAACAGGCTGGCTGCCCAGAGAGGTTGTGGAGTCTCCTTCTCTGGAAATATTCAAAACCTGCCTGGCTGTGATTCCGTGCAACCTGCTATAGGTGAACCCGCTTTAGCAGGGGGGTTCGACTAGCTGATCTCCCTTCCAACCCCAACTATTCTGTGATTCCGTGACTGAGGCGTGTGGAGTACCGAGTAGTCCTCATTCATCCTAAAATCCTAACAGCTAAGGAGTTCTATCACCTTACATCAACAACAAGCAAAATGTCTTACACTATGAAAAATTCACTTCGAAAAGGGACTTTCCAGTATTAATGCCCAATTCTGCCAAATTATAAGTCCAGAAAGAGACTTTTACGTTATGCTGTTAAGTAGACAGCCCTCTTCAAGCAGAAGGGTATTTTTAAAGATCAATTACCCCCAACAACTGTCCTCAGATGATGAATTTAAAGGCGAATAAATTGTATTTGTCCAACACACGTTATTTCCTCAAGCTAACGTGACCTTTAACGACAAACGCGCTTCCAAAATAAATAAATCGTATGCGCAAATGGAAGTTAAGCCTTATTTATTTTCAGAGCTCAAACTCAGAAGCGCTACGTGCCAAAAAAAAAAAAAAAAAAAAAAACCAAAAAAAAACAAACAAAAAAAACCCCAACAAAACCCTGTAAAGTCAACGGAGGGAAAAAAAAATAAAATATACCCGTTTCAGGAACATACTGCCCTACGCCCGCCTCCTGAGTGTCGGGAAACAGAAAAAGCCCGACCATAAGCTCAGCGCAGGGAGTTTAAAGGTCCGAAGTGCGAGTGGCCCGGGAAGGCAGAGGAGGGCCGGGCAGGGCGGGTCTGGCCCGAGCGCGGCCCAGCAGCGCCCTCAGGCGGCGGCGGCGCGGACCTGCCCCGGCCGCACCGCGAGGGGGGGGGAAGGGTGGAAAAAAAAAATTAAATAAAAAAAAAAAAAAAAAGAAATTTACAAAACCGCCGGTGCGAACACGATCGTCCTTGGCAATAAAACTGAGCTGTCAATCGCCTTATCGGCTGACCGACGTCAGAACAATTCGCGAGCGTTACCCTGAGCGTGCGGGCGCGACCGCTGCTTCCCTGCGGCTCAGCCTAAAAGACACACGCACACAGAAAAAAGCGAAACGTGAGTCATCATCGGGCTGCTGTAAAGACACCGTAGAACTTCCCACGTACAGGAAAGTCACCTAAAGACCATATAAACAACTTTAAACTTACAATGGGAACCCCAAGAAGCCAATTATTCATTAAACCATACGAAATACAACAGAGCGTGATACAGATCCCGTGAAACACCACTCTTTACGGCCTGCAGAAAACGATGGCAATCCCATGAAACATTACACCCAAGTACAGAGACCCCGGAATGGGAGTGGTACTGAAAAAAAATAATCATCACCTATCTTGTTTCTGAATAAGAAACACAACTCGAGTATTACAGTTGCGGGTGTGCTTCTTTAACGTTGTGTGTAAAAACAAAACAACCAACAAAACAAAACCAAAACACCGTTTAGCCAATGATAAAAGCAAAACCAAAAAACCCATTACTGCTTCTTTTAGGACAGAGGAATAGAAACAAGTAAACATTAACCACCCTTTCAAAATTTTGGAATTTCCCTTTGTGGAGGAAGGGATAAAACTGGTACAAATGTAGTTTTATTTCTGCTCTTACCTGATTAAAAAGTAATCCGGGGTTTTGAACCTCCCCTACCATGATGAATCATGGTCTTCCCGCACCAAGCCCCGCCGAGCAGCCTTACCTTAAAATTACTGGAGTTGACCCACGCTGTTAACTCGTCGATCACTTTATCAAGGCGCTGCTGGTCCTGCTCCAGATCGGGGGACCTCGCCGGGTCGCTCAGGTACTCCAGCAGCTCCTGGCCGACCTGCATCCTGCGGCCCACGTCCTTCTGCTGTACCTGGTCGCAGAAATAATCCATACCGGCGGGCTCCATCTTCGGACGCTGCGGAAAAGTTTTTCGGAGACGAAGCGAGCGGCCTCAGGGTCGGGAGCGCGGCCAGGGCAGGGCGGGCGGCGGAGGGGGGAGAGACAGGGCCGCCGTCCTCATGGAGCCTCTCCCGTCGCTCTCCGCCCCGGCCCCGCGCCCGCCGCCCCCATGCGCACACGGGCGGCCGCCTCCTCTCCCCGCAGGGCGAACCCTCCGGCGGGCAGGGAGCGCGGGGCTGCGGCGGCCGGAGGGCTCGGCGGGAGCCGCCTACTGGGGCGCGGGGCTTTCCAGCCGCCTCCGCGCCGTCCCGAGGGATCCCGGCAGGGCTCCCGCCGCCGCCCCTCCTCTTCCCCCGCCAGGGGACGGGAAATCGAGCCCGGGAACAGGCGCTGCGGCTGGAGGGGCTCGCAGGCACCCCGGCCGCGAGCTCAGGGGGTTCCCGCGGGAGGAGCGATTCCTGGGCCGCCGCTCACGGGCACCGGCGAGGCCGGCGCGGACCTCTCATGCTCCTGGCGCCGCGGCCTCCGGCCCCTCCTGCCCGCCCGCGAGGCGCCTCCCAAACTTTCGCCGCGGCGGGTCTCAGCGCCTCTCGCTCCCCTCCACTGCGGGCCGGACCGGGCGAGTCCCCCTCGGAGCCGCTCACGCTCCGCCGCGCCTCCCCCCACCGGGCTCTGCCGCGGCGGCGCCGCCTCCGTCCCGTTGAAGTTGCACCTCCCGCCGCCGCTGCCGCCCCGGCCGGCGCCAGGCGGACACACACCGGGCGTGGCCCGCGCGGCCCCGCCTCCCGCCGCGGCTCCCGCTTCCCCTGGGAGAGCGCGCGCCCGGGCTGCGCGTCCCGCCCCGCGCTGCGGCGGGATGGGATGGGAGGGACGGGGGGATGGACGGGGGGATGGACGGACGGATGGACAGCACGCCCTCCCGCCGACTGCCCCGGCCAGACCCCTGCGGGTCGTGTCCGGCGGCGGCGGGAGGCGCATGCGCTGCTCGCCGCGGTGCCAGCCCGGTGCCCTGGGGAGAATGGAGAAGTGTTGGAGAAACAGGGGAAGCGGTGCGAAAGGTGCCGGGGTGCTCGGGTGCTTCCCTCCCTCCTTGCCTGTCTTCCCCTTCCCAGCGCTTTGCCCAGCGAAGCCCTGCAGCCTCTCTCGCCTTGCTCCGTGCTCAGGTGTGAGGGGGGGAGGCCCCCGGGGAACCATCCCGGTACGCCGAGCGCAGTTGGACCTGCAGCTCTGCTGTCTGCAAAATGGGGTCTGGCATCCGGTGTTCAGTAGCACTCCAGAGAGACATGGGTTATTCCCTTCAGAGCTGCGTAACACCTGGGTGCTCAGTGCTATTCCAGAAATCCAGCACAACCCACCAGACTTCCCGCGCCATTATTTACACAGAATCACAGAATCTTGGGATTGGAAGGGACTTCTGGAGATCATCTAGTCTGATCCCCCTGCCAAGGCAGGGTCACCTAGGGCAAGTTACACACGAACATGTCCAGGTAGGTTTTGAATGTCTCCAGAGAGGGAGACTCCACCACCTCCCTGGACAGCCTGATCCAGTGCTCTGCCACCCTCCATGGAAAGTAGTTCTTCCTCATCTGAGGTGGAACTTGTGTTTTAGTTTATGGCTGTTGCTCCTCATCCTGTTGCTGGGCACCACTGAAAAGCATCTGGCACCATCCTCTTGGCACCCACCTTTGAATTACTTATATGCATTAACAAGATCCCCTCTCAGTCTTCTCCAGACTGAACAGGCCCAGCTCCTGCAGTCTCTCCTCATAAGAAAGATGTTCCAGACCCTTATTCATCTTTGTGGCCTTCCACTGGACCCTCTCCAGTAGCTCCTTGTCTGTCTTGTACTGAGCAGCCCAGAACTGCACACGGAAGTTCACAGTTGGTAACTTCCCAAGTAAAGCCCCAGCATGGCTGACCCGCATGGAGTCTGCCAGGAATTGACAGAAACCCTTTAGTGGGCTGTGATGTGACTTCAGGTGTTGTTTTAGGATCGGTTTAAACTATTCCAAGTCCCTTTGATGTTAGAGAAGGGAAAGGCAGCTCTATTCTCTCCCTCCCTCTGCCTTGGGGTGCGTTCGTGTGGCCTCTCAGGCCTCTGAAGGTATGGTTGTGGCTTTCACATGCCGGGAAAGGAAAGGCAAGGAGGTCACTTTCCCCCTCCTCATACCCAAGCTGCTCTGCTTGACCCCTGTGCTGGACCCTGCATGCACTGACCACTTGGGTTGATTTAATATGGGCTAAATTACGGAGTTGGAGTCAGTGAGCTGGGCTGGCTCTTGGATCCTATGGGTGGAAGCACAGGATTCAGAAGATGGGAAGCGTAACAACGCCTGTCAATGGCAATGGGTAGCAATGTTGGTCTCCTGCCCCTCCAATACTGGGAGGGTTCACCTTACACTAAACTGGAAGCCACTGTTATTACAGGCAGTCTTCTTCCCCTGCTCTCATATATACAGTTCTTCCCTTCCTTACAGAGGTGGTGTTAACACTGGAGAAGGGTGAGCCTGCAGGAAAGCAGGGTACTGCCTTCATTTGCTGCAGGATTTAGACAGGTATAAGCTGAGGAACCACACCTGCAAATGCTGTTTCACAGCAGTGTAAACCAAACTAAATTGGTACTAGAGTGTTCCTACGTGCCTGCTTCTCACAAATTCCATTCTCAGGAATTCTACACTTTCCTTCTGTCTCACTGATCTGGAAAAAAAAAAAAAAAAGAAGAGATCTCCATCCACAGGCATGGCAGGAGGCAAGACCACAAGCAGCCTTTTGTTGACTTTGGTGGTATGTGGCAAACTGAGGATCCCATGCTTCATCAATCCCTAGGCATTACAGTAATGGTGATGGTTAAAAACATTAAAGATGCCTTTAAAACAGAAATGTATGTATTGTACTTTGAGATTATTTTAATCTTACAAAAATATTACAGATTGCTCATCATGTTTTCACAATGGATTTGATTTCACTGTGCACATATAAAAAAATGTAATTTTGGATGGAGCTGAATAGTTCTCATCCTGTGTGTGCAATGTCATTTACAAAGATAGATTATGAAAACTGTTTGGAATTACAGGTTGCTTTTATAGGAAAATGGAACCCTAGAAACTTCTAGAAATGGAAAAATAAATATCAGAAAAATGAAACTGGTTTGCTATGGGTTTTTTTCAGTGCACTCAAATCTGATTCACTGGTGTCATAAGTTTGAAAATCAAATTTCTTGCTGTGAAAGTTTTGAAAATAACTTGATCTAGTAACATTGGCTAAGTAGAAAAGACCTGAGCAAGTATCAACAACTGTGAACAGTTCCTGTCCTGTCCAACAACTTTCTAAAAACAAACCCCCAAGTGATATAATATTTGCTTTTCATTACGGTCCGATTTAATGTTAGTCTCTGAAGAAATAAAATCCTAAGCAAAAAGAGAGGGTAAAGCTCATGGTACAAGCTTTTTTGAATTTCTCTTGATTCAAAGCAAATATACTGATTAGGTAATCTAGTTGCTGTGAATAGCATTGAAGCTGAGGGGCAGGGCAAAGTATAATAAGAAACACACTTGAAATATCGAAACTATTTTGTCAACCCCGAGACGACATCACAAAGCTATGTTAAGGGCAAAAAGTCATGCTGGGATATATGGCCTACCTTTTTATTTTTTTTCCCCATTTCACATAATAAGTGTTTTCTTAGAAAACAGTAGAAAATAATTGCCTCACTGTAAAATCAGAGGATTAGACTACTGTATTTCATCCTGTTACTACCTGACATGACTAGTGCCTCTATACTGTATTGATTATTGATACACTGTTTGATGTACTCTTATTGATGTAACAGGAGAAAATTGGTAGCCTTTTCATCACTGAGGTGCTTGCTAAGATCAAGGCAATTTCATTTGAAATCTTAGCACTGAGAAGAATTATCTTTTTTTTTTTTTTTTGTGGGATAAATAAATGTTTCTTGATTTTTTCCTCTGCAAACAAATAGCATTTTGATTTGGCAAATAGAGCTTCTAGTTGCTCATTTCCTACTTTAGCAAGACAGAAGTAGCATTCCAACATTGAATTTAGAGCAGACCCCCAGCTAGGACAAATGACACGGTTTTGTTGTAGATGTTCTCACAAGGTCCTGGTGGACTTTAGACCTAGGGATGTGGGCTAGGCTCCAAAAATAAGGCATTTTCACTCAAGCCTCTTATTCTCAGTTAAGGAGATTGCCTCCTTTGGAATGTAATCTTCTTTTTGATATGCAAGCATGTGAGCATAAATCCACTACTCTTGTGTATTTGTACGATGCATAATATTTTGTAAAGCAATTAAGCCCTGTAGTAATTGAATGGAGAATCAAAATTTTCTTTAGTCTTCTCACTGTGACTTGCCAGCAACCAGGGCAATTACAACAGGAGCTGAGGTAAACGACACTAATCCAGTGAGGCGCGTTTCCAACCTGAACTGCACACCCAACCTGTTCCTACACCCCCATCCCGTACGACTGTGCTGCACGATTATTGCACGTACCCTCCTGTTCTGAAAAAGGCAAGAATGGCACACACGGGCTGGGGAGGGAGGATACCATGCTCTTCGTTCCTTTGACTGATAAGAGAACACATACTGTGCTTCGGGCTCTGTTTCCACCCTCCTTCCCTGCCTAGCAGAAAACTAGAATGGGATCTCATGCAACCTAGTTATGGGTCTTCTGTAGCAAGCCTATCGGTCATTCCAGCAGAAAAGCTACTTCCACGGACTGACTTCCCCTTCTGAGAAATCCTTCCCACAGAGAAGCTATAACCCCATCTCTGAAAGAACCATAAAAATCCCCTAAAAACTCTCTGATAAAAAGGTCTCTTTATTACAAATAGCAAACATAGGCCATAAAAAAAATGAGTGAATTTAAACATGAGTCACTCAGGAAGCTCTGATAAATTACACTTTATGTAGCCTAGGCTGACACTCAAGAAATCCATGAGAAAGTTGTCCTTCCTGTTGGATTCCTCAGCAGCTGGGACAGCACTTCTACATCATGTTCCACCCTGGTAACTTGAAGCAAATGTTCAGATTGCATCTTGGAGGTGGTGTCCTTCAGTCATATACTACCTTTTAATGTCTTCTGGAATACCCATAGGCTTTTACTTGTTTATAGGTTGGAGATCAGTACATTGAGAATTTTCTTAATACTGCCAGGAGGTAAAATACTGCCATATTTTGTAAGCTATTTTAAGCAGAAAAGTGGCAGGTTTTGTTATCCATGTTTTATAGATATTTATTCTCATATTTTGTTACGTTAATTTCAAAAGGATGATGTGCATCTTTTCAAGCTGAATTTATCACCATTAATAACTTTTAAGAATCGTTGCAATTCCTCCTTCTGAGATTAATAATATCAGAATAATGAAGTAATAAATGTCTTCTGAAAATAAAGAAATAAGTCATGAAGGAACATTCTGATGATGATGTTGCAATATATGTACCAAGCTAGTTGTAGTATTGCCCATTTTTCTCACAAGGCCTTAAAGATAAATTAAATGTAACTGTATTAAAAATGTACTCGGTGAACTCTGCTACATTTGAGCTTGTGCCATGAATGTTCTTGAAATTACATATTTAATAGAGATCGCACTCATATGCTTATTTGTAAAACAGCAGCTGAAACTAGTAATCTGGTATTTTTCTTGTACATACTAAGTTAATTTGATTAC